GGGCTCACCTTGCCCTCTGTGCCAGGTGATGGTGGTGCAGGAAGGAGACCCGTCCTGCTGTGCATCATTCTGTTGTCGTTGTTTTTCCTCTCCCCATCCTGGAGGGTGTGTTGCCCCTAGCTGGCCGCCCCATGGAGGTGGGGGGGGTGGGGGTCAATAAAAGAGATGGCAGGGGACGTTCGCTGTCCCTGCATGGCCTGGCCTCTCTGTTGTCTTCTGTCCGTCGTCTGTGTGGCCAGGCGAGCGAGGGGGCACCGTGGGGAGGGCGACGCACCCCTTGTCCCTCTCAGTCGCCTTTGCACTAGTCTGTTCCCAGCCGTCCTTAGCATGGGATGTTATTTTCTACCTCAAGGCAGAAAAACCTCTTTCCCCAGGAAAATCCCCCTTTTGGGTGGCTCTGAAGCCAGGGGAGCTGTGGCAGTGTGATCTCTCCTCCACCTGAGCCCCGGGCTTCCCCCATTGCAGAAAAACCCTGGCTGGAGCTATGCAAAACCCTCCCGTGATCTGGGGGAGGAGAGGGGTTTCCCCCACCCTCCCTGCGTGCTGGCCGGACGGCTCTCAACATGACACAGTCTTTTCATAACATGACTTTTTTAATGCTGTGTTGCCTACGCAATTAGTTGCTGGCTGAAATAAAACAGATCCGTGCCTCTCTGCATGTGTGTGTATATCTATCCCGATAGATATACATGGAGACAGGGGTTGCCCTCCGGTTGCAGGGGACAGAAATTGGTGGCTAACTCCGTGCACGTCTCCACGGGGCCGCCCTGCTCCCTTCTCTCCTGCAAGGCGAAGCCTTGATAATGCCGACTGTGCTGGCCCTAGGTGCCTGCAGTACCTGGGGGGGCTTTCTGGGCTTGCAGGGCTCGGGGTCTTTTCCCAGGAGTCGGGCCCCAGCGCGCATCCTCACCCGGTGTTTTCCCAAGTACCAAGTCTCCACCCTGGATGGGCTGGGGTCCTGTGGGTGTGTTTGTGTGTCAGGGGAGAGTAGGGGGGTGTTGCGCAGCTTCCTCTGGCTTTTTGGGGCCAGCCTGGGGGAAAGAAGATACAGCTGTGCTCAGGGCTTCCTTCTCCTTGGGCACCAGTGTCCCCAGCAGCTGGCTGAAGGGCCCTGGGCCTCCTTTTTTGGTTTTGGGGCAGAGGGACTGCTGGGGCATGGTTTGCAGTGGAAGGGAAACTCATTTGTCTCTGAAGGGGCTGAGCTCCGGGACAGTTTGGAGGGAGGAGATGCTGCTGTGGAGGTGCAGGGGCTGATGACAGGCTGACCCTGGGTTGGATCCAAGGTCAGCCAGGGAGGGATGTCTGACGGGCCACGGAGCCTCCCAGGTGCGCGAGGCTGGAGCTTGGGGGTGCGGTGGAGGACAAGAGCGCGTGTCACCCCGTGGAGGGGTGAGCCTGGGGCCCCCCTGGGGAGAGAGACCCTTGGCTCCGGGGGGTGAGGGGCAGTGGGCTGGTGACGCAGCGCAGCTTTGTCCCTGGAAGGGGTGTTGGGTGGGGGCTTTGCCAGGGTTTGGGGCACAAGGCATCACCTGGCAGCTGCAGGGGGGTGGGACACTCACGCCGTCAGCCTCTCTGGCTCTTGCTGGTACCCCTCACCCACGCTCAGCACAGTGCTGTCCTCGGGCCTCGCGGCGGCCGCGCTGTCCCCTTCGCTCACCGCGCGGTACCCCCTCGCCTTGTACCTCTGGCGGCTGTAGTAGAGCATGGCCAGGGTGGTGGCCAGCCCTGCCAGGACTGCCGCGGTGATGCCAGCCACCTCGCCCCCCGTCAGCCCCCGGCTCCTCACCATCTCCGCCGTGTGCCGGACCTCTTCGGGCTGGGCCAGCCGCCACATGTGGCTCTGCCCATCCCTGACCCAGGCGCTGCCCCCGTCCCCGCTGCTCACCAGCACGGTGTCGATGGCCGGCAGGTTGGTGGGGGGCCGGCTGAAGGGTGGCAGGCGGGCGGGCGGCAGGGAGCCCCCCGTGAAGACACCAGCCCGGACACAGTACTGCACCTGGCAGCTATCGCTGATGAGCGCCAAGTGCTGGCTGAAGCCTGGGGGGCAGCTTTTGGCATAGGGGTCCTCAGCCGTGCCCTGGTGCTGCCCCACCAGGGGGTTCCCTGCCTGGCAGCTGAAGAAGCCCCCAAAGGGCACTGCGTACTGGCCACCCGCCTCATAATCCTGGCTCACACACACCCTGAGCTCATCGAAGAGCTTCAGCGGGAAGTACCCTGAGGGGCAGGACTGGGCACCGGTGATGGAGTTGGCGCTGTGGGCGCTGTACAGCCCCCCAAAGAGGTATCCCGAGCCTGGGGCCACTGGCCCGTTCGTGGCACACCAGTAGGCGCTGAACTGTACCCGGGAGAGCCAGAAGATGTCCTGGCACACACGGTGGCAGAAGATGCCCAAGGTGCACTTGTTGTGGCACTCCAGGTGGCTGTGGCCTTCCTCCCGCTCCTGCGTGCCCAGCAGCACTGGAGTGTAGGTGGTGGGGCAGGAAAAAGCCCCAGTGAGGGGGTTCCTCTGCTCCAGCGCCCGGCACAGTGTGCTGGTGTCGGGGCCAGCCAGCCCCGCACACTCCTGGAAGACTCCCCCGAAGGTGAAGTTGGTAACGACACCCTCACAGGAGCCATCGTCGGCATTGGCATGGAAGTTGAAGTTGGGAGAGGTGATGTCAGTGCAGCCCGGGTAGGTATTGAAGGTGTAGTAGCGGCGGATCGCCATCTCCACTCGCCTGGCCAGCTTCTTCACCATGGGCGTGGGTAGCTCCGGCAGGGTGCTGGGGTTGATGAAGAAGTACAGGGGCAGCCCTGAGCGGTCGAGAGCCACCAGCTGGTTTCTGATCCCCTCCTGCCAGGTCTTTAGGGTGATACCTGGGTAAAAGGGGGTGCCACCGATGCTCTCTACCCTAGAGTTGGTGCGGTTCTCTAGATACTGCTTGGTGAAGCCAGAGCTGATGTCCAGGGACTCCTCGTTTTTCACGCTGATGATGCTGTGGAAGGCCACGCCTGCCGAGGCCGTGACCGCACTCCGTGCGGCCCAGCTGTCCTTCAGGAAGGTGGCCTTGATCTGATCCTCCTGCACCAAGCTGGCCCCAGCATCCACGGAGGTGATGGTGTGGGTGCCATAGTTAAGCACCAGCACCTCAGCCAGAAAATCAGCCATCCGCGTCTGGTTGTTCTCCAGGTGGCTGGCAATCATCAGCAGCTGCTTCTTGAAGCCCTTGTCCAGGACTGCCCCTGGGTTGATCTTGGCTGTGTAAACCAGGTTCCTGACTTGCACTCGGGTGGTGACAGCGTGGTCTTTCACTTGGTGGGTCTTGGTCCGGTGGAAGTCATAGGAGAACTTGCCATTGATGGAGGAGAAGAGGCACAGCTCCAGGTTGATGGAGGCAGAGGTGACACTTTGGTAATCTTTCCAGGACTCAATGATCTCGGAGTTGAAGTCCAGGTTGCTCTGCTTGCGAGGGATAGTGAAGATTTCATCTGGGATTATGTAAGATCCGTCTTCTGTGGTCTTACACAGTGAGTAGCTCAGGTTGATAACTCTGCCCATATCCAAATTCCTGAGGTTATCCCAGCCCCCTCCCGGCAGGACTTCCAGACTTGGGAGCTTCAGGGCCTGCTTGCACTCTGAAAACCCCGCAGAGGAGGACAGCTCCTGGGACTGCTCAGCCCCTCTCACCCAAACCACTGACACCCAGGCGAGCAGGACCCCCCCCAGCACCCAGCCCATGGCTGAATCGGCACAGGGCCCTCACCAGGCGTCCGAGCGGTGAGGCGGGAGCTGAGGAAATGAGCTGACTGGGGTTGCAGCTGCTGGGTGGTTCCTCCTTTTGGGGGTTGAATTAACAAAAGGGAAAGGAGAAGTGAGAACTGATGAAGGTGAGAAATGACCGAGTGGATCTGAGGCAAGTGGGTGGGAAGCAGAAAACAGAAGTGCCCGGAGCTCAATGCCTCCCTGTTGCAAAATCTCCTTCTCCCCATGAAAGCTGCTCTGCTGGGGATGGAGCAGGGAGAAAGCTCGGCGCTGTGCCCAGGGAATTGCACTGCATGAATCTCCCTTGGCCAGTACTTGGGTGACTCCCTCAGATGAATCCCCCTTGTCCCTGGGTGACCCTGGCTCCTTTGTGCCATGCAAGGGACACCTGTCCCCAGCCCTACAGCCTTGGGGTCCCGCTCTCATGACGGGGTGAGATCTGGCCCCGGTTGCATGGGCTTTGTCACTGACTCCGAGGCTTTTCTCTGTGGCAAACGTGAGGAGAGGAAGGGTGGAGGTGGTGCAGTGTGGTTTTGGTGTGGGGGACAGTGCACAGCTTGTCTCTCTTCTCTCGTGGGGAAGAGGCTGCCCAAGACCCTGCGTCAGGCACTGGTGGGTTTGGAGGTTCCCCCTCATGGGGACCAGCCTGTGGCACAGGTGTCGGTCGCCCTATACCAACATCTACATTAGGCCCCTCTGCAGTCTCCTCTACTCCATCCCTGTCCTTCCCCCGGGGTCTCCAGTGTCCCCAGCTGGGAAAAACGCCTCCTGCTCAGGACTGCTGAGCCATGGGAGGCTGGTCCCAGTGGTGCTGAGGCGGCTCTGCTCAGGGATGTTGGTGTTTGTTTGGGCCCCCATTTCAGCGGCACAGGGCAGCTGCTGCATGTTTTGGGGAATAAACAGTTAAAGCAGCTTCTGCTGTGAAAGCTGTGACTTTCCATATGGACAGGCTCACTTCCCCTATTTTTGCTGGTTAGTTCCTCTTCCCAGGATGGTTCTGGCATGGAATGAGGCTGAAGCAAGAGCTGTGATGGGGGCGGGGGGGATGGCTATAGATGCGTGTGTGCTTTTGCCAGGATAACGCTGGGATGGGGTAGGGAACAGATGACAGGAACACTGTCGGGGATGGTCTCCTGGCCCCAGTGTGGGGCTTGGGCCCCAGAGTAGCTGGAAAACACTGATGTGGGGAGCCGCTTGCTGGAGGCTCCCACACCAACCTGGAGCCATCTGCATTTCACACTGGGCTGGGAGTTCAGCCCACCTAAAATCCAGCCATGCGTTTTGCTGTCACCCAACTTCGAAGTCTAAGCAGATATGCTGGTTTTGGCTGGGACAGAGTAAATTTTATTTATAGCAGCTAGTATGAGGCTATGTTTTGGAATATCCCTTTGGTTGGTGGGGGTCAGTTGTCCCAGCTGTGTCTCCTCCCAACTCCTTGTGCACCCCCAGTCTACTCACTGGTTGGGTAGTGTGAGAAGCAGAAAAGGCCTTGGCTCTGTGTAAGCACTGCTCAGTGATAACTAAAACATCCCTGTATTATCAACACTGTTTCCAGCACAAATACAAACCACAGTCTCATACTGGCTAGTATGTAGAAAATTAATTCTATCCCAGCCAAAAGCAGTATAGCAGTGGCCCCTGGTGCAGCAATGGCTGAGGTCCCTGGGATTGGAGGAGGGAGAGAAGCCCTGTGGGGCAGACAGGAGCTGCCTTGTCTCTCCACCATGCAGGAGCAGCTCCCAAATGGAAACCAGGGCTTCTCTACGCTGTGCCTGCTGCTGCAAGCCATCCTGTCCCGTGGTGACTAAGATGTGGCCAAGCAAGGCAAAACCTGTCTGCTGCACCCATCTGAGGGATTAAAAAAAAAAAAAAATTCCTTCCTGATCACCAGAGGGAATAAGCAAATGCCAAAGTAGGAGAGCAAGCCATGCTCACCGGTTGGTGGGCGCTGGTAGGGGAGGCAGAGCCCTGGGTAGGGCTGCTGCCGCCATCCAGAGGGTGAGGAAGGGGAAGCAAGGGAGGATGGCCACCCGCAGAGCTGCAGGTGCTGGACCAGGAGGGGAAATGTGGTTTGGACCTTCCCCCGGCAACAGCAGAGCCATTAAATGCTTGGGACATGGGTGAGGGGTGGACGTGCTGCTCACAAGCAGCCACAGCGCTGATGCAGCCCAACTCAGCAGGGCCTGGGATGGATAGGGGCAAGGCAAAACCTTTTTTGTGCCGCTGCTGGGTGCCAGGTCTGACTTCTGGCCTCATTGCCGGGTCTGGCAGGGACACTTGGCCACCTGAGTCCCAGCCCCAAGGACACGGTGCCCTGGCATGCCAGGTTCATGCATCATCATCCTCATCATCATGCCAGGGCTTTCTGTGGGCTGGGATTCCCTGCAGTGTGCGTTGTGATAGCCTCCTCCTGCTGCTTGTTCCCAGCACTGGGAAGCTGAGAATAAATTAGGCTGGGAAGGTGACGCAGTTCAGTGCTCTGGCTGTAAAAAGCAAGTGGCCTTAGGAAAATGGCCAAGCGCTACTACGACATGTATCAGTTTGCAGCAAAGTTCTTGGTGGGAGGAATTAGAGATTGTTACTCAGTGAACAGAAACCCCCCAGATTGTAACAACTGAGCAGTATGAGCCTAGGTGCTTGCAGGGATCACCGCGGACTCGTGTTAAACCAGGAAAGCATGAGGTATGGGACAGCCACCAGGCCTTGTGTCAGCCAGCGGGTGGCTGGTTGCTGGCTTGGATTGCTGCTCAGCACCAAAGCATGGAAATTGCTTAGGACTGATGAAAACCTGTGTATATATTGTGTCAATAAATAAATAGAGTCTCTATATACACACCCACACATATAGATATTTAAGCTTTTCTTGGCTATGCAGAAAACTGAAAGGAGCGGGGGGGGGGGCATACTTTGCCAAGAAACAAACCTTTTGTCCTCATTGATGTTTTATTTTTAGGCAGAGCTTGGAAAATCTCGTCACAATGAGAAGCAGAGAAATGAGAGTTTAAAAGCCATCAAAATTAACCATGTGGGATTTTTCAGTTTTGATCCCTTTTCTGGCTGTGACTATTAGCAGTTGGTTATGGTGTTCTGAGGAGAAAGCAGGACTGAGCAATTCTGCGAGCTCTGTGCTCAATGCCTGTCCTGGTAAGTGAAGAGGACAGAGTGGGAACTCGGGCCATCCAGATGCAGGTATGACTTGAGTGCTTTTAAGCGTGGTCCTGGCTGCTTGTTTTAATTAATGTCTCTGCATTAAGATGGTAATTTGATCCAGTGTCAAGACCTGCCTCCTAGAGAGACTCAGACTCAAAGCACCTTCAGGCAGAAGGGCCCTTTCTGTTGTAAGTCAGCTGCAACCTGTTTTTCTACACGTGATCTCCTGAAACTTAGGGCCGTGTAGACCATCTCAACAGAGTCAGGACATTGCCCAGCAGAGAGCTGCAAAAGCAGCGAGGAGCCCAGGAGGCCCCTGGGGACAGTTTCACCATGCCCTGATGGGCACCATGCACTCAGGAGTAAGTACGTGTTGTGGTTTAACCCCAGCCAGCAACTAAGCACCAGGCAGCCACTCACTCACTCTTCCCTGTCCCCAGTGGGATGGGGAGGAGAATCAGAAAAAAAGTAAACCTTGACAGTTCAGATAAGAACAGTTTAATAAATAAAGTAATAACAACAATAGTAGAATAATAATGATAATACTAATGAAAAGAAATATAACAAAAAAGAGAGAGAAATAAAACCAGCTCTCCCCTAAGATGCCAAAGCCTGCTTTGTGTAAGAGGGACTTTTTACTTCATGAGAAGATACTCTGCATATATGGTATTTGGAGATGCTGTGAAGACTGGTGACCCACAATGCAATTGCTCACCACCTGCTGACCAATGCCCAGGCAGCGATCTGCCCCTCCTGCCCAACTCCCCCCAGTTTATACGCTGAGCATGATGTTCTGTGCCATGGAATGTCCCTTTGGCTGGTTGGGGTCAGCTGTCTTGTCCATGCTCCTTCCCAGCTTCTTGTGCACTTCCTCGCTGTCAAAGCATGGGAAACTGAAAAATCCTCAATTTAGGGTAAGTGCTACTTAGCAAAAACTAAACCATCAGTGTCTTATCAACATTATTCTCACACTAAATAGAAAACACAGCACTGTACCAGTTACTAAGTAGAAAATTAACTCTATCCCAGCCAAAACCAGGACAGTATGTCTCGCCTGACCTTGATGCACTGGATGCTAACTTTGGTTATTTTTGCTCCCTGTCCCACCTGATGCAGACCAGTGCTTTAAGTTCCTCTTAAATTAACATCATTTAAATCCACTGGTTTTTGTGTGTTTCTGTCCCATGCTGCTTGTGCAGCCTCTGGCACCAAAAGTGTAGAAAAGAGTCTTTAAGCACTTACAGACTGTCTTCTTCCTGGGTAAATTTTTTAGCAATACCCTTGCAGCACCATAAGAAGTGGGAGTAATTAGGGGCATGCTAGTTACTCCCTTTGTGAGCACATTTCCCAGGGAATCTAGTTGCAGGTGAGTGGCACCATTTAACAGGCCCTGTACCATCCCCATCCCACAGCAGCCTGTGTGCCAGCTCTGTGGGGGTCAGGTGGTGCAGCTGCTGGAGGCACTTGTGGCAGATGCGAAGCACAGATACTCCCAGCATGCTCTTTTGGAGAATATTTATTGAAAAGGTATTGACTGTGACTGTTCCTACCGCTTTGCTTACCTGGGTTTACAGGGGATTTCCTAGCTTTGGAGAAGGAAAAAGAAACCTGGCAGGAATCACTGGGTGATTCTGCCACCAGCAGGCCAGGCTTGCTCAGTGCCTGAACACTGTTATGGGTGTGTAATCAATATTGGATAATTCTGCCCAGGGCATTTCACTTTTCTTCATGTTGATCAAAACCTGTATTTTTCTCAGTGGACACCAACATTATTTCTGGTTGCATGTAACATATGCTTATTCTCTCTAAGTGCTGTTTGAAAACAGGGAAGTAGCTTTAAAACTGTGAAAATCTCAGGAAGGAT